CTGAAGAATCAACTCGGACTGGACATTTCCATCTGGTCCGGATTCCATTAGAATGTCATTATAATACTTCAAACCATAGAACATACCAGTGTCATCTGCAGATCCAAAATAGGCAAAGATTAGCCTCAACTTATGGTCACTTCACAGGAAAATCAGTGTCTTATCCTGCAAACCAAACCAGCAGGATCGAATTGCAAGGCTAGACTTACTTGTAGATTGGTATGGGATGAGCGGCTTGTAGTCAAAGCTAAAAACTTGAGTGATGTTGTTGAGGTTTGGATGTTGAGCAACAAGCGTCCACTGTGTGTAGTTCTTCTGGTGGTTGAAATTGGTGATGGTCATTTTCACTCGCCAATACTCCTTGTAGTTGAGCTTCACATGCCAATGCACACGAATTGGGCACATGTGATTTGTGCACCTAACCATATTGGTTTGTTGACTCGTTGAAGCGTTCATTGCTACAACAGTTCTGATCTCTGAATCACTCCTGCATTACACTCTAGCCATGAGTTAGACACCTTAATTCACAAGAAATATCAAAAGCTTCACGCTGCATTTCACCAGTAAGTTTTCTTTTCCCAAACTGAACATCAAATTTCCATAATTTTCAACTATAATAACTTGTAGTCGAACGGAAAAGTTTTAACATGTTTGTCTAGCTTCAAAATTCAAGTTTTAGATTGGAAAGAAGGCTTACGAGATGCATTGATTCCTGCTTTGGCAGCCACAAGAGCATGTTGGACAAGGAGTGATAGTAGAGTTGTAAAAAGATGACATTGAGACACAACAGGTTGGGTATCGTGAAGCCAGGATCTGAGAGTATGTGCATGTCACGTTCCATGTCACTGCAAACAAGAAATTATAGGACAACAGACGAATTGGAATGTTAGCAGAAGCTATAAAGGAAAACAAGCAAGTCCAAGATTACTCCAAGTAATTACTACTGGGTTAGGCCGCAAGGATTTCTACTTCCGAAATACCAATTCAAGATGTATGCTGTCCTTTGTTATCTATATGAACCAATTTCAGCTAGAATATTTCAAGCAAACTTGTTATGTCATCTAACAAATATACACTATAAACTAAAACCTCAGTAATCATCTGTCAATCTAGCATCCAATTAATAAGTAGTGTCTGAAAAGGGCAGTTTCATGTTCACACTTTATACTTTTATACCGCCAGATTATAAATCACCTATAACTTCAATGGGAATAACAGATATATATATAAACTGAAACCCATACGAACCCGTATATACGTCTACATAGAATCCAATCAATAAGTATCTGAAAGAGGTTTTAAGTTCATTTTTTCCAGTTTCATGCTTTTCAAATTTAGATGGAGCCAGAACCTAGATCATCTATAACTTTAATAAGGATCAAACTCACTCAATGCTTGAGTTTTTCTTCGACCATCAGCTGTGATAAAAACTGAGGATGGTACTGTTTTTGCTTGGCTGCATGTGTAGCCCAGACCAGGACCTAGCAAAGTGAAATTCTTAGGCAGTGTCACTGTTTTATTGGAAGTACCAGCACGCCCAACACTCAGCTGAAAGGAGGAAACAGCAGCTGAAGGGTCTTGTCCCCATGAGGCCACGACACCCCCTTTGCAGCAATTGGCAATCTGTTGATTGTATGGGACTCCAGGGAGCAAGTCAACGACTGTGGGGTTCCTCATACAACAGTGTGGGATGTTTCCTTTAAACTTCGAACAATCTCCTTGATCAGTCGCTTGGGCTCCCACCATTGACCAGATCACTTCTTTCTTCGCCCATACCCATCCTAACTTCCAGCCAGGGCTCGTGATGTGCCGATACATTTGGAAGTTGGTCATTGTTACTACTGCCTGAGCATAGCCATGATAAGCTTGCATTTCAATATTTGGTAACAAGCAATCTTTCGAATGAATAATTGGTGTTTGGATTTATTCTGTCTTATACACTTCAATGATGACTCAAGAATTGCATAATCTAAATTCTTACTAGAAAAGAAATAGCATTTTATAGTTGTTGAATACAAATCACACTTACCACATAGCCATCTGGAGTCCAGGACATGACATCCCATTTAATTGTTATGTTTCCTGTAGGATCTAATGGGTCATATGCCGCTACAACACAACAGAAAAGAGGCAGGAAACAATATGTAAGTACGCATAAATAGAATCAAGTTTTCAGCATCGAATAGCACAGCAACTGGAAGCTTACCTGCTTGAGAAATAATTGTAACAAAGAAAGTAGCCAAAGAAAGAGGGTAGGCAAATTTGTTGAATAACATTCTTCAAGATCACTGGTGTTGGATCCTCTCTCCGTTTTTGGTGCAAGGGAACACGGATGATTGATATTTATTCAAACAAAGGGATTTACATTGAACAAACAAGAATTGTTTAGGGCAGGCTCACCTACTGGTTTTGTTAGGGTGTTTCACGTCATATCTTCCTGTAAGTTTCTCATACACTTTTATATTAGGTTTCTGTGTTTGTATTAGTTCAGGCTCTTGATGCGAATCATAGTTGATTATTGCCTTGATACACTAGGGATATTTCAAATATTTGAGTGCAACTGCTCAACTGCCAACACCTCATTAGTCTTTTATCAACACAGCATAGCTTAAACTTAATTTCAAACAGATTTGGGTATTAAAATAACTATCTACCAAACAAATGATTTCGATGAGCTAGTCTTTTTTTTAACTTTGATGGAAAATGACAGTCCATAAGACTCCAGGAGGGCACTGTTGATTTACAGTATATCCTTCCATTAATCACCCAGATGAATTCAAGAAACTTGTGTTTATTCATGCTCAGTTTTACTCTAGGAAAATAATACTATTTTCACTAACATATAGTGTATGTCTATATTGTAAAAGCTATGATTTCATGTTTGTCATTGAGTAAAATGTATTAGATCAGTCTTAAAAAAAGTTAAGAACAGAAAACAAGGAACTTAGCCATGTAGTTCCTTTTCAACAATATTTTTCTAATTTCTTATTTTATTTTTTTTAAAAAAAATGATTTTGACATTATTTCATTTGGTGCAAGAGGAATAAGGTATAACACAGCTGTGGGAGCTGGAACAAGTATTCAACTCTCCCTCTGATCATGACTATTCAACTGCCTCACATAACAGAATGTTTACATTAAAGAAGCTCTAAATTGTAGTTAGTGTAGTTAGGCAAGAGAGTTTTGTTCCTCTGTCGTATGCATGTTGGATCAGCAAGGCACAATGCATCACAAGGATGAAGCACAAGAATTTCACCAGACGTAATCTTTAATTAGAAAAATGAGAGAGAAATGGGAGGAAGAGAGCAAATAACATTGGGAAAAACCAAGATTAATTGGATAAATAGAAATTTACTAGCACAAGGAGAGTTTTCATTAACAAGAAAGCTACTACTATATCAATCCTAGTTGATAACATGACCACTGTTTTAAAATGAAAACAAAATTTAATCAACTTCAACTTGTTCTATTCCATGGCATTATAATTATAATTAAATGGTGCAGTAAATGGTAACCTGTAAACAGAACACAGATCATTCTAATTCGGATTGTATTTGTGTTCAGATTATAGAAAGGAAGATGCCAAAAACAAAATCATTGCTTTCGACTTTCCATTCCCCTACCTACATATCCCATTGTTTAAAGGAAAACAATAGGTTTGACTAATCCAGACAACGATTCTCCAACCTCCAATATTGTTTTTAATATGGATGCTGGATGCGACTTTGTATAATTGACAGGTTGAACTTTCCAAAAACCAGTTATATATCAACTATTAAGTTAAACTAAGGTGTTGAGCCTAACTGGTTAATTCTTTCTGCTATGCCTTCTGGTGTGTTCTATGTATTTTTGCCTGCTTTTAACCATGTTAATCCTAGACAGAACCGGTCTCCAGTCATTACGAGAATGTACAAAATTAATATGTATAGTTATTTAAATACAATATTTGGGAGAACGTAGTTTGATCCCTGAAATGCAAAAAAATCAATTCTTCAATTCAAACTTTTTGTTTCCAACTTCCAAGTTCTACTCAATCTCAGTACCACATAAAATCATGGCAATTTGAGCACCATATTGAAGCCAGGATCAAATTAATTCCTATTGTTTGGACTTGGGACATCCAAGACTAAAAGCTGCATCTGAAATTTCAGACCTCGAAAGTATAAGCTGGGAACCTATTTTTGCATGCCAGCCAATACAAAAATCATCCACATATTCACAAGTGCACTGGAGCAGCAAAAGTTGACTGCCTCCAGAAGGGAGCCAGAACAGCTTTGCATCTTTCTTCAGGAAGGCAGTCATGGAGGAATTATTGGCGTCTGGACAGGCAATATGTCTCTTCCCAATCAACAGAGCCATGTCTCTTTCCAACCTGCTTCAATTTTCTGAAGGATTTTGTAGTTTCTTAGATCATTAATGCTGCGTTTTTTTCATCTTCAAAAGCTGAATGTTAATACATATGCTAATCCTATGAGGTATTATATGATTTATTCAAAGTACCACGTAAACAACGTTCTAGAAGATGAATCCCATCTCAAACTTAATTCAACATTCATTCTTCTGTTAAGATCACGCTTAGACAAGAAACAAAAGATACCAGCTGTTACTAAAATATTATACTAACGTGTTTACACAAGCGAAGGGTGATTCCAACTTCCTCAAGCCAAGTTTGAAGGCCAAAAAGCCACAAAAAGGCCATGTACCAGACACCTACCCACCAAAGCAAAGGCAGACAAACCATCTCAAACATTTATACATTCTTAAATATGATAATCCTACAAGAGCGACAAAGAAGCAGCTAACCAGCCTTAATACAGGAGCAGCTAACAAGATCAGGATGTTTATCAAGCACTCACTTCTGTTTCAAACTACTCTCTAAACAGTCTGAACTAGCATGATTTTGTTATTTCTATTATAACAAGATATTGCTAAATTACTAATCTGGGAAAGCGACATTTTTTCTATGCACTATTGAATTAAATTAACAATGTATGGCAAGCTGCAAGTTTTCCTCCACGAACAAAGTTTATGTACTCAAGTTTCTGGATTTCCTATTAAAGCTTAAAAATGTATGTACATTATGATTACAGGATTCCTTGTATATGTTACAGATGAATTTGGTACCAGGTGAGGAGTTTTCTATACGTTGGTTTAATGCTTTCTACATCTTACACAGGATTCTTCTATCCTAGCAGGGACCCTTCTCTTTGCCTTTTCTGCCTTTCGATTCTCAAACCACACAAGGAAGACAAAATGACTAGCAATATCAAAAGCAAGGCAGCAGCAAATAGCGAAGGTGTGATTGGACTAGGAGAGTTGGGTAGAAGTGGGTATGCATCTGGTGGAGGCATCGTGCATTCATCACCATTGAAGTAAACTTTATGAGGAAAAGCCCATCCTTGCTCTAATGTAAATGCATTCTTATCTTTCCCAAGAATCATCTCTGACTGAACATTTCCACGAGGTCCAGCTTCCAGGAGTAATTCATTGCGATATTTCACACCATTGAACACACCAGAGTCATCTGCATGGAGAAAATTCATCATAAACCTTAGAAAGTCAGAAAAAATACAAGTTAAGTATGATGAATCAACTTCGCTTCATTAGGTAGTAGATACTACTGCAAAATTTCAGTTGTTAAATATTCCAATTTTTTTGAAGAACTAGTTTTGTCTGAAACCATCTCTACGCTGAACCTCTTCCTTCTTTTAAAAATGAGGTGCATACTGCTTGTTATTTGTAGGCATGATTGATCAGCTTACTCATGGATTGGTAAAGGAGTGGCTTGTGTGAAGTAATAAACTTGAGTAACATTGTTGAGATTTGGATGTTGAACAACAAGATTCCAGTAAGAGTAATTCATCCAGTAGTTGAAATTCGTGATGGTGAGCTTCACAAGCCAATACTTCTTGTAATTGACCTTAACATGCCGGTGCACCTGGATTGGGCACATATGTTGTGTGCACTGCAGCAGCTGAGCATTGCCATTGATTAGCAAGTTTGATTTCACAACAGTTGAAATTTCACAATCTCCCCTGCAGTGCAACCACATTACATGGCTCAATTAAACCCCAATATAAAAACAAACGACTGCCAAACTTTTATTAGGTTTTTCACATGATAGTTGACTCCTGATATACTGGCCAATTTGTCCCAGGTCAGAATGCCGAATTATAACCTTTATAACTGCTATCAATTATTTTGAAACATTTAATACATGTAGTTGTGCAAACTTTTAAACAAAGCTATGAAACAATGAGTGTGCTGGTGAGAATGTTGATGACTAGTGAAGCAAGGGAAATGCTAACTTATTTACAGGCACCTGTGTCTTCAGGAAATCAAAAGGATCCTTACATAGTGCAGTTATCTTTATTTTGGCAGCCGCAAGCACAAGTTGGATAGGGTGTGATCACAGGGTTAGAGAATGAAGACAACGAGACACAACAATTGGGGTTCCTTGAAACAAGGATCGGTGAGTATGTGCATGTAATAGTCCATGTCACTGCAAAGGACGGCAAAATAAGTTAGAAGATCACTTGGAGGAAATGCAATTAGCAGATGAAATCATCATTCCGACTCTCTCATTGTGAGATGTATATTGCATTTTAAGGAATTTAGTTGAAGACATTCTCTAGTTCGTGAGCTTTTGTACAAGAAATAAGCCACTAGTGCTCTGTCAGAATAGGTAACTCTTGATACGTACCTATGTTTTTGTTAATGACATGGCATTTTATAGAACATTCACAATCAATTTTCCACAACCTTGCTGCATTTTATAAATGATGAAGCAAGCATCCTAAAGCAATAGACAGAGTAAGTGACAAACATGAATTCAATTGATGCAACTACTACATTTTCATTTTTTTTCTATAATTCCTTCTTTACCGTAAAGCATACAGGTCACAAAATGGTAAAGACCAAACTGTTCTGTTTTGGTAGATGTAGGATGAGCATGAAAACAGAGCAAGTGAAAGATAATTTTTGTTATGACAGTAGCTTCATATTTCTGATATGCATTGACTTATTTTATATACATAGCAAAACTTAACAAGTAAGCTTTTATCAGTAGCTAGAATACATACTAATCATCACATAAGTCATTCACTAGATGCATAGCTATTTTAATTTGATAGAACGCTACCTGTCTTAATACAAAATGGTCACATATAGTTCTAAGGTTAATAGCATGCACTGATGTGGTTTTCAATGTAAGTCCTATTTCAACACTCTTCCTTAGGACATGCTTTGCAAACCCCTAGCATCAATCTAAGGTCTTCAAACCTCTCCTTTGGTAATGTCTTGGTGAAGATATCTACTACTTGCTTATTTGAATTGCGGTAGCTGAACTTGACTTCCTTCAAATTTTTTACTTCTCGAACTGCATGGAACTTCACATTAATGTGCATGGTTCGACCATGATTTACGGGGTTCTTGGCAATAGCAATTGCTAATTTGCTATCCAAGAACAATTCAGTTGCTTCTTGTTGATCAAACTTTAAATCTAGAAGCAATTTTCTGACCCAAACTCCTTGGTTTACTGCAGATGCAGCAACAATATATTTTGCTTCAGCAATAGACTGAGCTACGACTTCTTGTTTTGTAGTGTTCTAGCTAAATGCAACACTTCGTAAGAAAAGCACATAACCAGAGGTGCTTTTGAAGTCGTTGACATCTCTAGCATAATCACTATCACTATAACCATATGTACAATCTTACTTCATTCAAATATTTGAAGTGTAAGCAAAGGTCAAAAGTTCCTTGCAGATACCTCAAAATCCATTTAGTAGCTGAGAGATGTTGAACAGAAGAAGTTTGCATATATCTTGAGAGCTAACTCACTGAAAACATGATGTCAGGCCTTGATCTATGCATAAAGTAGACTGCTAATTGAGCTTCTATAGATAGAAGAGTCAATGAGTTTAGGAGAGTTAGCATCATTGAATTTATCATTTACAACCATTGGAGTTGCAACTAATTTGCATTTTTCCATGTTAAACTTTTTCAAAACTACAACAATATAGTTTTTCTGATAAAGGAAGATAGCTTAGCCAAACTGATCAATCTGAAATCCCAAGTAGTACCTCATTTTTCCCAATTCAATCATGTCAAACTCAGTCTTCATGGCTGCCTTGAACTGAGTTATTAGTTTTTTTCCAAGACCTGTAACAAACAAATCATTTACATACAAAGAAATCATCAACTTGACTTGATCTTGGACCTTTAAAACATAAAGTGTAGGTTCATTTACACTATTGCAGAACCCTTTTGACTCCAGATAGCTATCCATCCTGTTGTACTAAGCCCTAGGGGCTTGTTTGAGACCATACAAGGCCTTATGCAAGTTGCAAACCTTATAGACCCTATCATTGACTTTCAACCTTTTAGGTATTTTAACATAGATATCTTCCTGTAGGACTCCATTCAAGAATGCTGATTTGATATCAAGATGATGAACTTCTCAACCAAGACCACTAGCTATTGCAAGTAAAAGTTTAACTATCTCAAATCTAGCCATTGGTGTAAATGTATCAGTAAAATCAATTCCTAGTCATTGAGCATAACCTTTTACAACCAACCTGGCTTAATACTTGTTGATTGAGCCATCAACATTGAACTTGGTTCTAAAAATCCATTTGGTGCCGATGACATTTATAGAATCTATTCTATCAACCAAGGACCAAGTTTTGTTTTCGTCAATCACACTTAGCTCCTCTTTCATGGCATTTTGCCAATGAGCTAATTCTTTGGCTTCTAAGATACTTATAGGATTTGAAATGGCCATATTGCATTTGTCATAGATGCTTTCTAGAGACCTGGTGCCCTTGACAACAAATTGTTTATCAGTAGGATCTTCAAAAGGTTCTTGAACCATTTCTGGAAATGTCCCTGGACCAAGCAACTTGTCATTTGAAGCCTCAATCACTTCTGACTTCCAATTCTAGTAGGCTTGCTCATCAAATTTAATATCCCTTGCTACTTGAACCTTTTTGGGGCTTAAATTGAACACCCTGTGACCTTTGGATTGCAAATTGTAGCCAAGAAAGACACCAAACTCAGCTCTTGGTTCCAGCTTAGTTCTTTTGGCCTCTAGAACATGCACATAACATATGCATCCAAAACTTTGGGATGGTCAACAGTAGGTTACGCAACTTAAAATAATTGAAAATTTTTCCTTTTTAATACCTAAGCGAATATCATCCTTTGAATACATGTGATACAAGCTATCATTATATGCAAATGTTTAACTTCTAAGATGATGTCATGCATCCATGTTCATGGTTTTTCAAAAGTTTTAGAATTCCATAATTGTTGACCTTTTGTCATATCTTTTTGACACTTTATTCGACAATCTGATCTTTTTTTTTTCAATACATTTTTTCTGTTTTGTCAATCTGGAAATTTCAAAATTTTTCTGAACTCAATTTTTGAACTCCTTATCTCCTTTAAATCCCATTCAAAGTAAAAGAAGAATCTTTGATGTTTGTTATGGTTTATTTAATTCATTATCATTCAAACTTTCATAACAAATATGATGCACTGCAAATTTCTTGCTTCATGGGACAAAGAACTAATAGGATTTAATAAGAAAAGCACAATTTTGTTCAACATAATGGAAAAAATCAAAATGAAAATAAAAAGTTCAAGATTCTAAAAAGGGATATAATATCCAAGTAATAAATATAAGAACAATCATGAACAAGTTAACTTCGTAGGTCCTTTAATGTAAAAACATTTCTTGATGCTCTTGATTCCTTTCAAACATTTCCAATTAACTTTTGCCTTGTCTTGTTATGGCATATGTGCATCATTCTTTGTATTTAAGTCGCCTTTTCAAGGTTTCAACTTAATGTTAGGGTTTCCAAGATATACTTGATTAGAGTATACAACGAAATTTAAAATTTTCTAGAACCCTAAACGATAGAACTCTTTAATTGAAAAGAATCTAAGCATAGTAACAAGAAATTTATGGTTTACCTTAAAAGCTTGAAGTCAAAACTGCTAGGTGACTTCCTCTTTGCCTTTCAATCCTTCTTTCTCCACCAACTAGTGGTTGTGTCAAACTTTAAATAGCACAAGTGTCTTGTCTCTAACGGGGATCGACATTGCAACTATTAGGAACATATTTTCTAAGATAGGAAAGATAAAAAAAAGAATCTATGCTAGCGAACTCTCTACTTAGAGCTCTTTTGTTTTTTCCAAGTGTTTAAAATCCTAATCTTAACACATATGAAACTAGAAATCTCTCCTAAGGATTTTAGAAAGTTCTCTCTTAAAACTTATTTTCAAGGAGTGGCTAATAATCGTTTAAATAGAGAGGCAGAAGATTTGTAATTTAGCTGTTAGATTAACTCTTAATCAAATTAGAATTTTCCTAATGCATTGGATTGCATTGGGCTATAAGTCCTTTTAGGCCATTAGTAGCTGATTAGTTCATTAATTATTTAACTTAATTAAATAAAACAAGGTGCAATTATCTCTTAAAGAAATCAGCCCACATTTTAAACAATAAACTTCTTTATTTGACCTACTGGCAATAGCCTAATAAGCTCATAACTTGAACTCTTCAATTTATCTTTATATGAAGTCTGTCAACTTCATCGATCAAATCCTATTTGATTGATTTCCAAATTAGTTCTTAATAATCAACTTATGTGTGTGACCCATCAGGCTTCTTATCATATTGGCAACAAGTATAAATTGGAGTTTCAAATCTCATAAGGAATTAGATGAATCAAATCAAATTTAACTTCATCACCAATTCTCTAATTGGCCAATCATACTTATAAACCAAGATTGGCTTTTAATAAAGCATCATGGTCGTCTAAATGACAGAAAAGTCATATGGTTTGACTCGACCTTTTGTGTCTAGTCTTACTTGTGTAATTCAATCTTATCATCATGTATCTCGAAATAGGTAAAAAGCATGGTATATTGTTTACGCTTAATGCCTTCCATATTTTCTATTAAGCCTTAATGTCAACTTTGGATGATTCACCTATTGTTTTGTGAGGCTTCATAGTCTTGAGATTGATGTTTGTTTAGATTTCTATTTAAGCCATTCACTTTCACAAAACTCTCTGATGGGAACAGTGGTTGAGAGGAATGGTGCTTAAAATTTACTCTTTTCACACTCAAAGTGGCTTTTAATTCATACATTCAATAGTTGTGCACATCCAATCAAACACCCCTTTCCATTTTGTTGATAGTCACTTGGTGATCTAAAGGTTTCTGCAAAAATTGCTAGTGATGGATTGAACTTGTTTTCAACCTATTCAAAGAAGTCTACCATCGACATCTCAAAATGGCCCAAAACTTTTAGAAACACAACCATCCCATAGATTGCTATCACCATAACAATCATGCTTCATTCATCTCTTGGATGTTTCAAAATGAAGCTATGAAGAAATTCCCATGGAATGCAAACACTTTCTCTTTTCCTTGTAACACACATGTCAACTTCTTGTACACTAATTCCCATGATTTTTACTATCTTTTTTTGAAAACCTATCTTTGGTTTTTTTGAATAAACCTTGTCTACATTTGGAAGGCACATATAAAATAAAGTTGAGTACTCTTCAATGGTTGGCGTCATGCATACCTGATTGAAACAAAACATTTATATGAAGGATCTGAAAATTAAGCTATGCCTCTAATCATTTGGTCATTGATGGGTATGTGAAAGAGTGACACAATATACCTATATTTCTACTAAAATTTTTGTTGTTTGGATGTTACATAATTACCCTAAATGCTGAAAAGATCGATGAAGTC